ACTCGGTGAATTGAATAAATTAAATTATTAAGAATCAGAAAAATTAAGGATGTGCATAAAGAGGGTAACACGTCACGATACCAACAAACGGTTATTGTTGTAATGAATCTTTGATAACTAAGAAACAGTACAAAGTGTTGTTTTTTTCTATTGGTGTATACTTTTGACACACAAGCATTGGATCAAGGTAGGAAAAAATGATAAAATTGTTGATATTGCCCACAATTATGGATTTATTATTTTTATTACTTTCTTTGTGCTATTGTTGTTTTATTGAGTTTTTGCGACATTTATTGTAAGTTCAAAAAAAGGCACCTATTCAACGGTGTGTCGCTTTTCAATCAAAACTTAAGAACATCAAGAAGTCAATTTTAAAGTGGAAAGTACGTCGTTTAAAATTTGTATTAGTATCGCAATATATTTTAACTTGTGATTGACTAGGAGAAGCAAATATTTCGTACTTAATTAATTATTCAAAGTATAATTGAATCATGCTCTGGCGGAATTTATTATCAGAGATTCATTGAAATGTCAGATGCGCATTAAAACTAGGTAACCCAATATTTTCTCATACAACTAATGTAGATATTTTTATTTCACTCCACACGTTTACGTCGGGCGTGTTATTATTCCCAATGAGATTTCTAAAATATTCCAGCAACTTACAGCCGTCGAAGTTAAAGAGTAACGAGTCGTAAATGACGACCCTAGTCAGTACTCTGTGAAGTCGTTTTCTTTTGTGTCGTCTGTCGGACAGCCTAGAGAAACCGACATAATCCTTTCACCCAGCAATAATAGAACTTGCAGGATGTTTTAAATATTATCGCTCTGGTTTGTCGTCAACAAAATGGAAATTTTTGCATGTACACGACATTATGATAGTGGCATGTTTTGATACCGAGACAACAAGCGTTTTTCCAGTCTAACATGTTTTAAAGAAGCCTGTTTGCATCGAGGTCAGTCCCGTCAGATTACGGTCTTCTTCGGATATGACGTGAATTTAACAGGTGTATGTTCGATAAACTATGACAAATGAGCGATGATATTGGACTATTCGGTGATATTTCAATATGTTGGAGTGACGTGATATCCTGAGTGCACACATTTCTCTCTGAATTCAAGAGCATGCTGTTATTTAGTTATCAATTCAGATAGAGACCTTCTGAATAAAAGAGTAGCAATATACTTAGTACTTTATTTAATGAACAAATGCTTATGGTTTGTATTAACACCATTCATAATATGGGAATAATCTTGCGACTTTCCACAACGCATTTTAATCAAAATATTTAGTTAACTTTTGTGATTTACACATCTTAAAACACTTAATGTGCTCTATAAAAGATGTATATAAGCCAAAACTGGCAGTAAATCTAGACTTCGATATCCAACAACAGTCACGCAGAGAACAGTATAACGAGGAAAACGGAGTGAATTCTAAAGTGTTTTGAACGAAGGTTGCAGCGAGTCACACCACACTCATTCAAGTGGAAGCGCCCGAGTCACGCCACAGAGGGAGATGCTATCAACACACCGCCGCTGCACTTGCGCTCCTCTTGAGCGTTCGAGGGCACTGGCGAGAGCGGTCCAGCGATTACAGACGCTTGAGAGAGAAAAAAATCTCGACACAATTTTGGAGTTTCAAGACTCATGACGGCAGAAGGTGCACCCTTGGTTAAGGAGACAGCACACATATTCTTGGTATAGCACACTGTACACTCGCTGGTTGCGAAAAGGTTTCGGTAATTCGATTGAGAGTCTCATTCATCTGAATTCCTATCTCGTCCATTTTCTACGTACTGTGGACTAGAATTTCAAAATCATCAACTCATCTTCTTCTGCCCACGGTTTTCCGATATCCTGTAAAGATGAGCAGTTGGATTACAATGATGGGAAACGTGATCAGGGGCGAATCCAGACGAACATTTGAGGATGGGGGCACCATACATTTTTGTTAATTAATAAATTTACTTGTTATTATATTGTATACATGTTTGTAGTGTATATATGATTCCTACCATAAAGTATTAATTTTTTATAAATTACATACATATTTAATTCAATTTTGCCAAGGGAAGTAAGGTAACAAACGAAAACACTAGGCCTTTGCAGGAGGCATGGCCCCCGTAACCCCCTCCTCTGGATCTGATACTCAACGTGATCCAATGTCTTCTCAAACCTGTTCCGAACAGTCTGTCACAGCAGTGAACACACAGAAAAAATCCTTTCAGAAATCGAAAATGAAATTTGGATAAGAGAGAGTACGAGAAACACAGCTGGATAATTTATTTTTTAAATAATAAGATATCTGTAGGTAAACCATATAAATTCTTTCGAAAATGTGGAAAGCATAGTCTCGTGATGTGATTAAACGCCCACCTTACCGGCATTGCTGCGCCGCCCTACCATTGCTCTGCGGATTCCCAAAAAACCCTATTTTTCCCGCCCCCCCCCCAAAAAACCATAGGAGAGTCCCCAAGGAGATCATAGTGGGGGAGGGCAATACAAAAATGATCCAGCTCTCTAAATTTTCAACCGAGTTCTCAGCCACATCTGTAGGTGACCAAGGGGCTTCATAATTAGTACCAAGATTTAGTATTTACTGAAATTAATACCAACCGCACATATATTCGAGAAAGTAAAGATGTAAAATCAAAATAATCTAGAGGATAAGCAAGGCTTCAATATGATAAAGGAGCAAAGCATACAGGGGAAATATTTATAAATTGCGAAGTATTCAGAAATCTGAGAGTAGAAAAGTCATATCACGAAAAGATTGAAATAGTAGAGAGAATATTGAATTGCAAAGAGAGGAAAGGAAGGAGGTTTAGTGATAAATGAAAGAAACGGAGGAGGGCAAGTGAATTGAATATTAATAAATTAAAGACTTACAGAGGAGATAACATTGCGGGATTAAAGGAAGAGAAAGGTCGCTTGGAAATCTCACAGACACAAATGAGAATGACTAATGCGGATGGAAGAGTTAGAGACCCAAGACTACTGCGAAGTCGACATTTCTTTGAAGCCTAAGGGCAAATGTATGAGACGAAGATGAATCATGGCATCAATCTGTCCTCGGGCAGGTTAAAGGCTCAATGAAAGACATATTGCCCGCAACGAAGTACCAACACGTACATAAGTTGTCACAATGTTCCATCATCTTTATGATCATTGGCGAGGACTGTATTGTGCGAAGCCATATTCTATTGTGTTCTATTTTGATCCCTGCAATTGAAAGTTTCGCCAAGAGCTTAGACGGAGGTTATGTGTAGCGATCGCTTTGTCTTTATAGAGTTGTTGTTGAGAAGTCAAGTAAATTAATCAACGTTCGATAATGAGGATTGAATTTGGAAAATGGAATAAATATAATACAAGAATTTGTAGCTTATCATAATTTGTTAACCCAGAGAAGTTTATTATATTCATGTTATTGATGGTTCAGTGAGTCTCACGTTATTTGACTAGTGGAAACGAGACGGACGTATAACAAAAGTTCTGGCTTCTAAACTCCCTCCAATTTAAATGTTTTACTTGGCTAAATGTGACAGCAGAAAATAAATATTTTCTCCTGAATACATTGCAAAACTTTAGTTGTCTTAAAATTTCAGGTAAAAAGATCACTTTGGCTAAATTACAATAGTGAGATCTATAGATTTGTTGCCCAGAATGTCTAAATTGGCAGTGCAATGCAAATGCATTTATAAGAGTAGTATATACATTAGTAGTAGTAATGATGGGGTTCCCTACGTCTTGAGGTCTGCACAAATGATACGATATTGCATTTCTCTTGGTTAAGTATCTTGCACAGTTAATTTTTATTTAAAATACATTTGCATCTCTTCACTTGCCTTCTATGTTCCATTGATATACAGACCTCGGTGTTGAAAGAGATTTTAGAAAATCCAAACAAGCCTGATACATAAACATTGCATATCAAAAATTCCTTCCCGGCTCTTCTCTCAGAACCTTCTCTCTTTTAATTGTTAGGCAAAGAGATATTACATGACACGTGGAAATGGAATTTTAAGCACTGAAAAACAACGATTCAAATTATGATATAAACAGCAAATATCATGATTCATTAGAAACGTCTTGCCACAAAAAAGTAACTCGAAAATCGCATTGTAGGTACTTAAATATTTTTTTTACTGAAATGTGTCTCAGCGAAAAGAGAGAAGTCGATTTTCTAAAGGTATTCAACTGTATTAATTCTCTTAATATGGTCTGGTGAATAAACATTATTTAGAGAAGTGCACACCATTTCTCTTAGGAAAGAATGTTGGCACAATTGAATATGGGCTGATGACGAAATTCTGCGGTTGTCTGACCACTCGTACAACGCAGAGTCAAAAACTACATAATATTGTTGATTTTTAGCACAAGAAACAACTCGTGCAGTATGGTAGCATGAAATGAAGCATGACGTTTCCGGTAGCATGAAATGAAAGGTTTTAAAGGTTTAATACCATTCGTTTAAGAGTTCTGCACGATTGAATCAGATTTTCGATACTAGCTGTACAGCTAGGCCGAATTCTAGCGACCTGCTTTTCTGATCGGTAGTTTTCGGTAGTTTCACCGACCACGATAGATCGAATTCCTTCGCAGTCTTGTGGAAAACGCTAGCGGCCGTCTGCTCTGATCTGTGGTGGCGTCGGTCAGTGCCAGGCGAATGGCGGAGCGGAACCGTAACAAACGGACTAAGGACCGCGCGTCGGGAGCCTAAACGTTTCCCTGACTGGGGATGGATGGAAGGGAAGGTTCGAGGCGATACCTGGAGGTGGAAGTTGACTTGTAGGTTGGATCTGAATCTCACCTAGCAAACGGGGAGGAACATCGCCACCTACTCGGTATTAAAACAGCTGACGTGTCCGGAAACGTCAATGAATCAATCAATCAATCAATGATTCACCGGAGTCTGAGCTCCCGGGGCAGGTGTCACATGGGCGATCGCACTCGTCGCCGCCGCCGGGGGCTTCGTGGAGTGGCTTCGGCCCTCGCAGCCACAAGAGAGCCGCCGCCGCCGCCGCCGCCGCCGCCGCTCTTGGCGAGATTAGCGCGCGCATCTGTCGTTATTTGCCATCGCCCGCCCCGATAAGGGCGATCGCCCGTAGATCGCCCGCGCGCCCGATAAGGCAGCAGCGTCGGGGATCAATAGCTCCCTCAACGGCCCTCGGCCTAGCGACGGAGAACGGCGCGCATCAGCATTTGCCGCTGGAAATGGTTTGATCCACGTGAAAGAAGGCTTTGCGTAGTTGACGTTCTGAAAATCTAAACACAACTCGCCCATTCTTGATGTGCATTTTTACTTCTACGAACTATGTTTCAATCAGTAATACGATCTTACAGAAAAAAATATTACCACATATAAATTATTATTATTGTTATTGTTGTTATTACTAGTAAAACTTACAACTGTGGCCAGAAATGAAATGAATAATGTAACCATGTAACCGTCACAGGAGCTCTTAAACCCTAAAAAATGTTCGAAAAGTTGACTGACTTGGTAGCTCAAGTGGGCAGAGCTACAGGATAAATACCAAGAGACTCGGGTTCGATTCCCGCCTGACGCCAAATCTCTCAATAATCAAACACGATTTGTATTATTATTATTATTATTATTATTATTATTATTACGTAGACTGTGCTTGTAATAAAGTTACAATTAAAGTGATAGGGAGAGACTGTAAAAAGTAAAATATTCAAATGTCTGCAATAGCTGTCAGCCAGAGGGAAACCTAAGATTTTATAAGTTTGAAGGAGACTTACACATTTACGAAGAGCTTCGATCACAATATTTGTTTCTAAGATTTTTATTTTGTATACATGAAATAACACTGAGTACTACTATCTATCCCCGACCATTACAATATCTCCAGATACAGCCTGATATAAGACTAATTTATTTTATTTTTAAAACACGCTACATAAATTGAAGCGTCACAAACAGAATGTACTAAACAAAACAACACACTTGTTCGAGCAGAGAATATATTTCATATATTTCAATTTTCCGCGCCAGAAAATACTAAGCAAGAACGACTAGGTGATCAGATACGTCACTGATTTGAAGATTCCATTCATTAATGTAAGACAACCGTGAGTACATCGAATGCTCGTTTCTTGGACATACCAGAGAACCTTTAGCGTTTGCGTTCAAAGTTCAAATACACACCTGTATTCTGAAGCTGGCATCTCACTGGCTCGCCAGCAGACACACCTCTTTGACCTTTGCTCCCGCCAAGATACTGCCAGAAGCACTCGCGTTTTATCTCTAGTGGATCGCAAACAAGAGCAAAGGTTCCGCTCCTTCTCGTTGCAATTCTGTCCTCGCTTGAACGCAACGCAATTTCCGCGCCACTTTGTGCAGAAGCCGCGAGAATCGACTTCGACCTGGCCGGCGGACGTCCTATCTGGGACGGTTCAGAGATTGAACTCACGACCATGTCTTAAGTAACGCCACGTTGTAGATAGACGCAATCGATGTACTTTTATTGCTATTTTTAAGTGGGTATAATTTTGTCGAAAAAAGCAGGTAATAAAGAAGGAATCGATCATAACTGCCTTCGGTTCTTTCCGTGAAACACTTTGATCGTAAATGTTGTAGAAGTGTATACTGGTAGAACTGGACTCGAGATGTAACAAAAAAGGTGACAAACTCGACATAATTTGATTCACTTTTAATACATGATATGCGATTCTTAATTACTTTGAACAATATCTAATAATGTTATTAATTTTGCGGCCTCGCGGAATGAATTATTTAATCAGGGATCATCGCTTTTACGCTTAGCATTTAGTGAAATTACAATGTGAATAGACAATTGAAAGAATCACTTTTTAATCATATAAAAATTCGAAAATATTTTTACATTCAAATGACCGTTTCGTGAGGCTTGGGGATTTATTTACGCGAGATTTCGATTTTATAAAAGCCATCGTAATGTAATTTTTCTATAATTTTCTTACTCAATTCCGGGGATGTCCCTTTTCAGCAAAGTAGAGTGAGGACGGCAACTTCCTCTTTCTATTTCTGTGCATATCAAACGACAAAAGAACTAAATGTACTTGTATTAAACTCCCTTATATTTTACACTGCGTGTTGGTAAATGGTTTAAAATTAATCGGTTGACACTGAATATTTCTTTCAGAAAGGCGAGTAGATGAACATTCAATGAATATCGAGCACAGACATAGGCGGCTTGTGGACATCCAGATAACAACACAGAACGTTCAGGACGGTATTAAACACGCTCTCCACCGCGATGGAGATAGTCAGTTTTCCGGAATTACAAAACGAGGGAACTTTGAGGCAATCATGAAATCAATAGCTATTTTAAAACCCTCATAAAGTATTGCGGTTTCAGTGCTGAGAGTATAATCAGGATTCCATTTATAACACCACATTTTCTGTTCCAAAGTAACAAAGTAAATGATAACTAAAGGTCGTCTGAATATTATTCATGTCATTTATAAGATTCGAAATACATTTATAAGGCTCAGATAAAAATACTTTCAAACTTTCCTTTGTTAGTCACGAGCAATTTTTGTTTACTATCTGCTCGTACACTTGACAGTAAGTAAATGTTTTGGCTCACAGAATTGACACTGACTGGAGAAGATCCTCATGAGTAATTTCAATTTTACATTTGATACACATACATCAGTAGCACTTCAGAACTTGTAAGGTCAATACAGAAGCCTGGAGTTTCTTAGACGTCTTATTTCTTAAATATTATCTAATATATTTATGACTAAAGTATTGGTGAGGATTACATACAAGTTGGGGCATAAATTTATTCATCCTATAAATAGAAAATAAGAGAAGGTTTAATGATAAAACCGCGTTTGATATAAGTATTCTGCATTTTCCCAGGTTCTGCATTCAAATGAGGAAAGTGAACCATTGAATTCCGAGGCAGGGAAGGAAGTAGCGGAATTCAAATTAGCGGTTTGACATTAGCCATACAAGATGAACGCACTATCAAAATAATTAAGCAGTTCACGCCTAGGATGTAGTCATATCTGAGAAATGAACAGTCTTAATTTCATTAAGCAGTAAGGAATGTATGGAATGGAATATATCTTACAGAGGCGATTAATCATTACAATTAACAGAAGCGTGAACAGAAGAGGGGGCACCGGAGCTGTCGACCCATTAAACATTTCCAAATGAGCTCCAATACAGCTCGCGATGAAACATTTCTGTAAATTTTTTGAATCCTTGATTTTCCTCTTTTTACCTAACAATTAAGGAGTTTCACAATTATTTTAGCATCATTTGAAGCAACAGGGGTCGTTAGCGACCAGTGTTGTTTTATGCGCAAGTGACACATTATTTTACAAATTATAACAAAAATTGAATTTTTAATCACAATATTTTGTTCAGAATAATTAAAATTATTTTGTCAATGTTTTGGAAGCACACTGTGATGATGAAAAGGAGTTCACAAAAGTCTGGTTTATTTGCAACTAGGCAAAACATTCTCTTACGCTTGTGAACTATTCTCTATAATGGTTTGGTTCCTTTCTGTTTTTATAGTTACGCATCAAATTTCGTAAGTATATCGTGAGTCAGAATATTACTGGATACTATTATTTTATTTTTTATTAGATTATTGCGCAAACCTCTGTGCGCTAATGAACAACGATAGAAAAACAACATAATTTAATTGGTTTAGAAAATATGAGGTGAATCTCACCAAAATGAACGCACCATTATAATGAACCCAAAACATAAGCAAGCCTGCAACCGATGCCACGTAAAACGTCTTCGTTTCACGGTGTTATGCTCGGACCAAAAAAATCGCGTCATAAATGCGCTGCTCCATAAACGTGTGAGGCCGCCTTGGCTCTCCGAGAGCCGCTCCCCAAATCACATGCAACGCCCTGCACCCGTTGCGCGATCGGGGAGTGTGGGAAGGGGCAGCTGATTTCGAGGGCGGCGGCGGCAACGCTCGTGATCCACAACGCCCGTAGAGACCCGTTGCATCACCCCTCGACTGACGCTTATGTACACCGGCAGTCAGGCATTTTCCAACGAAACAAATGAAAGCGTATACATTGTTTAGGAATGTCGCAGCCTTTCGCACACTGAGAGCCATTTTAATGTTCGTACAGAAAAGGTGATCTTATTGTAAACAGCAATGAAGTACACTTTTCAGATAATTTGTTATTGTAATAAATACAAATTTAAATCACGATTTAATTAATTCTGAACAACTTGATGAACAATCAAGTCAAATCAAGTAATGATATTATTCCGAAAAATTCGCTCTCTCAATGAGATATAAGTGTATTTCCGTAACTGATTTTCCCAACCTCCTGAAGTTACGCAACAACGCATTTGACTGTCCGATCACGTTCAATGCCCTGCCAATTGACTCGAACAAATCATTCAAGTTCGAATTAGTGACGAAATGATTTACTTCGAAAGAAAAAGAAATACATAAAGTAAGCAACTCACTATTTCTTTTAAAACTAGTAGATACTTTGAAGCAAGGAGTTAAAACAACATGCAATGCTCCGAGTGAGGAGACTTGGGAAAGATAATGGACAAAATCTAAGCCGAGAGCTGCAACGAACCGTCCACCATCTTGTTTGTGGTAAATAATTGGTTCTTGTCGAATTCGTGGAAAATAATTGAGATGTTAATAAACCATGAAGGAGACCTCCAGAACGCTAGCCTGGGAATAAACGATCTCATTTCATGTAAATAAGTACATTTCGTTCGAAAAGACATCTTCAAAGACATAAACAGAAAGCATAAATCAATTTAGATAAGTCGTGATTTACAACTACAGAAACAGGGAGAGGGCTGATTTCGAATGACTTGTTGACACAAAATTGAATGCAGATGAGTATTGGAATATTGAAGTCCATGGTACGCTGCTAAGTGAGTGTGCTCCTTTTCATTGAGCTAATCAAGTTGAGTTTGATTTCCTAACACGTTTGTTGTAATGTGCAAACAATGTTCAACAAGGAACGATAAACTGTTCTAGTAAATAATTCTTATATTTATGGTGAAAATTATGGCACACATGCACTGTGCAGTCATGGGAATCAAGAACAATATTTGTAAAGCGAATATTATTCAATTAATAAAATGACTATTACATGAAAACGTAACTTTTCTCCCTTAATTTGATTTTTTTAAAATGTGGTGCGTACAAATTAAGTCCGCACCATAGAATTTTCGCCACGAAGACATCATAACAAATGCTTTCGCATTGATCCACTCGACATCAAGACTCCCAGTACAGATGTAGCATGTGACTACCCTGAACATTGGGGGACGCCTCTGTTAGTACAGTGCGCGGTCTCGTCTTCAAATGGAGCTGAATCCACGAGCGATCGCACACACGTGTGCCCCACCTAGTTCGTTCGGGGCGAAAGCATCAGGCGAAGAGGGCACGCGCCACACTCTAGTGATCAGTGGACCGCGGTTTTCAGTGGGTTGCATGGCCTCTGCCGCAGCATCGCTGGCCGCCGTATTTTGCATTTTTTTATTACTTGATTATAGTCCCGTTACATGTTTTACAATTTATCCCTTATCAAAAGCAAATAATGCGTGGATAAACTTGAGGAAATTCGGGTATTTGTTTTCTTTTTCACTCAATACTTCTCAATAACAAAACTTTTCTTAACACATTCTTTATGTAATTGCCAGATGATGAGTTTTTGAGTTTTCAAGCTGTCGCTTCAAAAGAATAAAGAGATACTCAAATGAAGATAATCTTTAAATACATGAGTTTTGAATAATTTAGTTTCTTGATCTACTTTTATCAATTTCTATCAAACAAGTTTTAATGACTTGATAAATTTTGATAGCTCGTTTTATTTATCAATATTAGACATTTCACTTGAAAGTTGGTTCTAATGCCCTTTATTACAGACATTTAAAAATGTCAAAGTAGTTATATGAACTGATACAAATATTTATTTGTGAGTTTTTCATTAAGAAACTTATTACATCGATAGTTTCCCTTAAAATGCATTAAACGTAGGTTGAAAGCAAAATACCTGTTCTGACTAACTTCTTAAATCAAGGCCTCCATCTGGCGATCTGCCCAGTGAATAATGTATGATAATACACTTTTGATTCTTTTAACTTTTGTTTTGGCCCAAACGAGAGGCACTGCGTGAAGGCGTTCGCTGCTGTTGCTAGGGACGAGGTCATTACGGACCTAACGGGTCTGTGACCTCTGGCAAGGGTCGTGAACCTCAGCAAATACAATAAAGACTGTTGGGAAGTCTAGTTACAATACTAGGTGCTTCAGATATTACATCTTGAACTTTACTCTTCCATGACACTCTCAACTATTACCGTTAATGATGTGTAGAAATGCTTGTAGCTGCATTTGTATCAACGATTTTCAGTACTGTCAACTTTTAATTCCTAAAAATTTCAAATAACTTTGATTTATTTCAATTTGATTTTGATTATTTCGTTAGCATAAAAACAAAACAGTGTAAACCTGTGTGTGACGTGAGGAGGAAAAGTACACTCGGCACACGTTTTCTTGAGTTCCTGAATCCCTAACCTACTCTTTTACTCTGTAGTTGAATGATGAAAAAAGTTCCAACAAAGCGTGTTTAGAAACATTGGAAAACAAGAAATTTTCGCTCTCAGACTCGTTACAAAGGACAGAATCAATTGGTTCATGAATTATTATATCATCATATGTTTCGATTTTAGGTTACCTGATACAAAATCAGACATTAATTTGGCGACTAAATACTTTTTTATTAGATTACCCTGTTCTTTGTGTTGTAGAAGCCAGGTAAAAACAGAAACGAATTCAGAGATGAGTATTAGCAATTAAGTTGGCTACACCATACCATTTACTTTTATCAACACTCTTATTTTATATTAAAATTAATTTTCGTTTTAATTAGTTTGCATTTTAAAAATCATGATATTGTGCAGGATATTAAAAAACTGGCTCCAATATCACTAATTTTTTCACAGCTCGGTACATTACTTATTCATACCACTATAAAAATGTAAAAGTTTTAAAGAAGTCACAGTGTACTCAAATGTAAATAAAAAATAGTTAACTCATGCCATCTTGGATCTTAGTTCTGCTGTAAGTTCTCAAAAAAAGAAGAACGTCCCTGTGAAATAAACAACTTCCCAGCAACGTGGCTATTTTGAATTGAGCTTTACACCATGGTTAACACTGGATTGAAAATCGACCAGTCATCATGGGTCACAATATTGCTTCGCATCATGACTTGTTTACTCGATTTGCTTTGATTGGCGCAACTTCGACGTTTCGTTGCAGGTTATCTCGGCAAAGGACTTTATTTGTTACGTTCGTCCAGCGTCATGAGCCAATACTCTCCATCGTATGTTTCTCTTATCGACATTAACAGACAAGAATATGTATGTTGCTATACGAGTTCGCGAGTATCGCAAGGCCCTGGTGTTCTGATGAAACTTTCGACACTTTATAAATAAACAGCTCTAACTAAACGACAATTTATATCGTGTTAAAACGTGACAACATTTTTAACACTACCTTGTACTGGTATCAAAAATATGGAATGAAGAAAGAAAACATTCAACACTATACGCAAAATCAGGGAGGTGCAGAGTTAAAACTTTTGTCATTTTATTTTTATAATCCAAGTCGCTACCAAGTCTTCATTCCTAAATCCTTTTACGATGACGCGAGTCTGTTTTCTTGAATTAATTTCAGAGTTCTAGTGAATGGCTTTATTTGAACTGCCAAAGATTTGATTCTTTGTTTGAAAACTAATTTCCGTGCAAAAATATTCATTGTAATAAAAGATAAGTAATATTAGAGAATTAGTACAAAATATGAATGGGTGAAAACCATACAAGTGTCAGTGAGATTTATGGCGCATTACTCGTTTTTGTTGACATTGAATTTTTGAAAGTTGCAAAAGCTAGAAATAGCACGAGACAGTATATGGTGCTGTAGCACTACTAGTTATACGGTCGATCAAAAACGGCTCGGATGGATCTTCTGCAGAAGTTCCGCTGGGAGTGTTTGACCGTCCTAACTTTAGTCCTCCCTTGACCCCAACGATTTGCATCTTTTCTTACATCTCAAGAAATGCCTGTCCAGCATTAGGCGTGTCACGGAATTCACAGTTGCAGGTGGATGTCAAACGTATCCCAGGCGGAAGACTTCTTTGACACAAGGATGAAAATGTTTATCCCACGACATGACAAATGAACACACGAAAGAAAGATTTTTAACAATTATTTCTTTATGTAGGATTCAGAATAATTTTTTTCTTTAGGTAGAATTCACAATGATTCGTTTTTGTTTTCTTTATGTAGGATTCAATTCGCAACATGGCTGGTATGTGGACGAAAGTATGAAACGATAGAAAACAAATTCTCATATCTTACAATAAAAAGATACTGCCTGTGTCAGGATTAAATTGAATTAGAATACACTTAGGGTTGACATGCCACAAAGAAACCCGGGCTGCCGGATGTGGCCCCCGGGCAGTAGTTTGGAGACCTCTGCTATAAGTTATGCTACTAGCACGCTAAATTGCAGTTTGAACTCTATCGTTATGAGATCTTAACGTCCAATGCTATGTGATTTATAGTCGATACGGCCAAGACGTTACAAATGTTCCGAACCTCCCTATTGAGCATGTGCGCGGCAAAGCCTTACTCAGGGTCGTAAACGTCCATTCGCCCTTGCGTCAGCCGCCTTGCTTGCGGCCGAGACGCGCCAACCGAGCAGCGGGGGGGGGGGTGTCTCCAATCGAGCCTTGCGACGCGACTCGCGCCACATGGTTCGCATTAGGGAGCTTGTGCCCTCCTCAGACTCGATCTTCTGCGCATTTGCAGATGCACTACGAAGGTGCGAAACTTGAACTAGTGCACGAGGCTTTCGAGGTGGCACAAACTCCGTATTACCCGCCACGTAAAATGGGCTAGCATGGTCAGGTAAGAGATGCGACATCGTTGACGACTAGACATCGATGACGACTAGACATCAATGACGACTAGACATCAATGACGACTAGACATCAATGACGACTAGACATCAATGTGAGTCGCGGCTCTTGATCATGTCATTAGGGTGTGCAACGTTTCTCTTCATTCTCCCTTCCTCCCCCTCTAGAGCTTCTAGAGCGTTTTCCTAATTTTGTAAAAAAACAGCTGCGATTTTGTCTTTATTTTTTTGAGACAGAAGGAACTACTCACAAAAAACGCGTATGGTCGATTTTTATTATTTACTCTGAATTTTCAAATATTGCAAAAGTTTAAAATTTGTTCGACCGCTCCACCAACTAATTATTGACGATTTGCATTCCGAAGTAACTTTTGCCTGCGTGATGTAGAGCTAAACGAGGAAGTGTGTTTACACCAGTCATTCGAGGAGAAGGTTGCGGTGACTGCAGAACATTCAACGCTCTCCTATTCCAATTCCCTATGACTGATTACTAGTCGTCTCACTGAGGAATTACGTTCTTCCGTTACCCGAAAGCGATACTCTACTGGAAATGAGAATTTCCTCTTCTTTTTCAGACCCTCCACCCAAGGCCACTTGGGTATGATAACTGTTCATTTAACCGATGCTTGAAAAATATGACAGGTTTTATTTCGAACTTTTCAAAAAGAAAACATCAACCACAAATTTGAATGCTAAAAAAGTCGGTTTCCATAAATCGATGTTGAAAACATGGACGTTTTGCAAACCCCGCCCGACGTCGCCTCTGCCGCGCTAGTCCCCGCCGCCGGGGCTCGGCCGCGCCGCGCGCCTCACGTGCCGTGGCCAAGGCCGCGCTTGATTGGCCGTGCTGCGCCGCCAGCCGGCGCGTGCAGAGGCGTCGCGACGGCCGGCGTGCGGGCGCGGGCGATTAGATTTCGCGGCAGTAAATACCGCCCGGCGGACGGGAAGTCGCTATTTCGTATCGCCGCGGCGCGCGGTTGCCATGGAATAGAGTTTGGGCGAAATCTGGGAAACAGGTGACGGCGAAAACACCGGACGGAATGTAATATTCGATCCACGTTGCCATCTGGGCGATGGTTCGAAACAGATAGAGAAAACGGCTATAAACAGTTCGTCCTTTAGCTGCCCTTAGTGACAGATCATTGACAAGAAAACGAGTTTCCATTTTGCATGTTTTTTCCATTGACGATATCTGCTAAAATAATTTCCTCTGATAAGATTTGAATACACTACTTCATCGTCCCACCCAAAAAGCGAGATTGATGTTTACCGTCAACTATTAATTTTTTATCAAAATATCAAGGCTTCAGGACGGTTGTGTTGTAATATTATCGCTCTTTGGTTTTAGTTGGGTTCAGCTTCTGTTTTTTCCCTAAGAGCAAAGGTAATGATATCCTGCCTTGTTCGGTTCAGAATACTAATCACAAAAGATAACAGATATCACAAACCAGTTTATCATGATCGAGTCATAGGTGAAATAGAGGTTGGAACTTTTTTTATTGTCGTCTAGCACAGCAACCTATTAATAACCCAAAGATCAGATGATACCAGAGAATTCTTCCACTCCTTATTTTTACACTCCATTAGCACATAGAAGTCACGTCCACAATACAGACATGTATGTGCATCATTCGATGTTTAGTAGATAATTGATATAAACATTAATAAAACAATGATGTAAAATAAATAAGTATGATTTTTGACATGTGTTCCTCGAGGGACCCCAAGAATCCAAGTTTTTGGCAGCATAAAAGGGGACAGCACGTATGAATTGTTACGTTGAATCGTACGTTTGTTTTAAAAACTAGGATTGCAAACACAATTCCTGGAGAAACAAATATTTAAAGATTGAGGAGACAATAAAAATAAGACGAAAAACGTTGATTAATTGCAACAATAATAATTATTTGCTATTTTGCGTACACTTCTAAATGAGGAAATTTAACAATGAGATAGAAAAGAGCTTAAATACATTATGGAATGCCGTTTTAAAATTTGAGTGAGTGACAGGTTTGAGTGATTTATTATTATTGTTCCTTAAAATGACCAGCGAATCTGAAGCAAAGACAATCAGCCAGATTTATTTTTTGAAATGTCAATAATAAATTGTCAAAAATAAAAAAAAAACTGTTGTGAACAAAAAATACATTATGGCCTTATGCACATGATCTCAGTTAGAATTGCTAATGATTATGAACCTTCAAAATTATTTCGAGTGTATTGCTTAAACGTTTCTTTTAATTTCCTAAAAAAATATCTTCAAATTTGTTATAATTATATAAACTTTTTCATTAAATATTGTTTGATTATTGAATATCTCTAATAAAGTTATTTGAATAATTTCCTTCATTTTTGTAAATTTATCTGTAACTCAGAGGGCTTGTTATCACTGGTTGGGAAAGCTTTCAAAAACTACCGTCCAGAATGCCTGAGCAGAATTACTTGTACATGTGAACTGTGTTTCTCTAAACATTTGATTTTTATTGTAAGATGAGTATTTAAACACTGAAGCAGTAAAGATTTCATATTATTATCGACGAGCTTTCTCTTGTGTAAAAGAATATCGCATTTCTGAAATCGCTTATAAGTATCTTCAGTACCATCACTTACTATTTCATATTTTAACTTTTAAATTTTTTTTATTGCGAGCATTTCATGAACACATTGAAGACGTAAAAATATTGATCCCAATATATAAATGTAAAAATTTGCTTCAAAACAACGATGTTCAAAACATCGATATTTTTTATAGAAACATCGATGAATAACACCCATGTTCTTTAAGATCGATGTCGCATCACTAATCCCTAGCGGGAATGTGTCCGTCCAGGCCGAGAGCGCTTTCCAACGCAAACGACCTCTGCGCGGCGACCGAATTGGCAGGGCGTCCCGACCGCCCACAGTGACGCACGCGGGGGCGTACGAGGGGCGGAGGGCGGGAGGAAACGAGGAGGAGCAGATGGAGGCGAGCGCAGAAGCCCTACGACGCCACTGCCTTCTCCGCAGCGCGGGCGGGGCGGGACGGGGCGATGTGACGCGTTGCGCAAGCGGCAGGGGCAGGGCTGCTGTACCGCCTGACTCGTCAGCTGACTGGCGTCTTGGCGCCGCGCCGCGCCGCGTCGAGGCCGTCCGGACACACCTCCGCGCGCTGCCACGCCATTGGCTGGATGTTCGCCTCGCCGCCGCCGCCAAGCTGTCGGACGCCCGCGCTGGGTGTGCCGCCGTGGCTTGTTCGCTGTTCGGCTCGGCAGAAGGGAAAAATGATTCCCGGAATTGTTTCTCGGGACTCAATCGACGTCGCGTGGCACAAAGCTTATTTGGTGGCGTACAGTATTTAGCGTCGAAACATATGCACTACTTTCATAAGATATACTTATTGTAATACGTAATAATAATAATAATAATAATAATAATAATAATAATAATAATTCATACTTCATCATCATTATCATCATCATACAATCTATCATTCCACCAGAAATAGCAACCCTCGGAGGTAAAAATTGGATCAGCATAATGCTGATCCCCTCAAAAAGGAGTCACAGATACTTGCCACGGCATAAATGTTACTGAGCCTTGGGAAGTGCAGGAGTGTGGTCCGTGTGGTCCTAGACAGCCTATTCGCGTAAAAAACGGTTAAATAAAATGTATATATTTCTGCTTTTCCAAGTATCAAAATAGACGCTGCAACGTGTGCCACTTTGTGAGCCGGCATCACCAAGTCAGTTTTGAGTTACGTAAAAAAATAAGTTCAGAAATTAGAATATTTGTGAGAGTAAAAATTTCGAAAACATAGTTAATAAATAGTATAATTGTCGCGAAATTAAAAGACATATTCAAGTTAACATTTTTTAATTTTTTTTTGTAAAATGACTTTTTTTAATGTGTCACTTTTATTATGCTTCAAGAAGAACATATGAAAAACATTTTTAAACCTACCGAAGAAATATTAGATAAATCCTCTAATGGGAAATGCGTGATTGACGTTTTTACATGGAGATTTCAGTTTGTTTTCAATGTTTAGTATAATTATTGCGGAGGACGTTTTGTTTAAATTATTTTATAATCTTGACAAAAGCTAGCAATATGCATCCTTCGTTCTTTTGTTTATTCCTGTGTATCCTATAATCTCTAACGAATCAAGATTTTATAGATTCTTAAAGATTTGTTCTTGCACCGTTTATTATTCAGTCACTGATTTCAGGCAAAAACATATTATTTATCTGTTTAAATTACTTTCTGTATAAATTTGTGTGTACATATTTATCTACTCTTTAATTAATGAATATATTCAGTGTCCTGGCCCGTTCTCGGTCTGCCATGCCAAGTACAGACCGACAGATGTAATCAGTGAGATCCAGTCTCCCTAGTTTTACTAACTGCGCCATGCTAATGAAAAGCAATACGTCACAAAAGATTCGCAAAGTATCAAAAAACAATGTTTAATACGAAAAATGTAAAGAACATGTGTGTTAAGGATATAAAACTATTAGAACGGCTTAAACATAAATAAAATACTTGAGCATTCATGTAAGGTCGTTATATTATGTTCGCAGAGACTCACATTTGATTACCTCTCAAACACACTGTGGCAAGAATTAACACCACCTGTAACCACATGAATCTGTTACAATGCGAGGGTCCATCACACCTACGTCCACTTATGTCAAAGCATCGACGCAAATTAATGAAAATTCTACTGTGGCCCCGTTGTGCGATCACAGTGGTCACTCAAAACATAAAATAGGCTCAAACCTGAGGAGTGTTTTGGTTACTTAGTCGGTTATTTACTACTCGAAAATAGGATGCAATATCGGGACGGTGCTATTGTTGGCGATGTGCAGACACACATATCAAAAAACTTTTAAGTTTTAAAATATCCGTTGACTTCGTAGTACCTACAAATCCGTCTCCGCACACAACCAAGTGAATGTGTTAAAACAATCAGTTACCTAAAGTGGGACTGCATTCAACAAGATTATATATCTACTTTATGTTACAGAGGTGAAAACCGCAGCAAATGATGATTAACCCATTGGTTCCTTTGTCTAGGGTGCTGGCTTGCAACCAGCATAACCAGACCAGCAGCGTGAACATCGATTGACGTTTTGCTTGTCGTGCAGTCGGTTTCCACCTCAACTCCAAAGGGAAGTGCTCGCGGAGCCTAGCAACAGACCCGCTCACCTTGGAGGAAGTTCAACGCGTGCTGTAAGGAACCGGCCGGTGCAATTAAGCGGGCAGAATTATAGCATGGCAACCGACCAGCTGGAGACATCAGACCCACGCCATCTATTCAACCGGCAAGCGTTTGGATTTTAGAAAAAAACTGACTACAAATGGTTATGTTTTCTACCGATGAAAGAGATGTAATATATAGCGAACTGAGAACAATAAGCGGTTGAACCTCGTCGGGAGTTTCTTGCTCTCCTTGAAAGATATAGACCCGGCAACATGGCCCCGGCAACACGTGCCCGAGAGCGTGATGCAATATCGGGAGGTGTGTTGCCGACGTAATACCAACGAACCAATCAGAAGCCGCGAATAATATCACGGTCGGCAGTCTCAAGATACGGCTGAAAATACTGAGAAAAGCTATTGACGTGGCCGGAGGTGTCAAATACTACCTTTTCCCTGACAGTCTTTACCTTTAATCTTTGAGAAGACGAATGGACTTGCTTCAACGATATCAAAATGTACCCTGATCCACGTATTATGGCCTTGAAGACCCAGAAAACTTCCACAAACAAGATGTCGACGTAATCGCTATAGCTGTATAACATAACGGTATTTTTTCTATTATTCCCGCAGCAAATCGGGAGAAAATGTGCTGTCGAATCCGTTACCTACTCGCGATGCTTAGAGCGAAATCGTTCAAGATAACTTTCTTCATTACAGATTCGTCTTCAAAACACACTTGATTGTACCAGCCTTAGGAATAACAGAAAAATATATAACAATGGAAACTCGGCAAAAATATAGTATTTCGAAAACATCGAGGCAAGCGTTCCGCATTCTACGAAGGTTTCGAAAGAGAACTACTGTGTGTTTATAAGAAAGGTTTTCGTCATCGCAAAAGCAATAAGTACAAAAACCTTTGATTTCATGACTAGCCTCCTGCGTAACTTATTTCGAACTGGACGATACCGGCAAGCGTCCCAGTGGAGTTGTTTACTGTGCCAATTGGCAGCGCAATGTCACTAGACACACTTGGCCCAGGATGTAATGGTGTTGTTGTTTACGTCTGGCAACTTGTACGCACTTGGATGTTCTAAGAAATCATTTGCAAAACATGTATCTTTATAACACGTGTGTTGAATCACAGTTGATTTACGTTGATAACACAACCAATACATGGCGTAACAATAACAATTTCTGCATTACTTTGATACTAATTTTCGTAGATGTGACTTGACACTGCAAATGCCCTGAGAATCGACTGCCTTTGGTATTTATTCAAGATACTAAAGTTCATAAAGACGCATTGAATTCAACATTTTTATAAGGTAAAAAAAAATTACACGCCTTTTTACAGTGCACATTTATTGTGAAATATACAGCGTAAAGAAATATTCCGGATGGAATATTTAAATATAATCGATAGAATATGAAACATTTTAGACAGAATTGTTCTTAGATAATGGTGGAAAACTTCTTTAACAAGTTGAGTGTGAACATAACTTTCAAATACTGGCATTAAGTACATTTTCTATACTTTTGTCATGTTCCATGTAAACGTTCTCAGTATTTCAGCAATTTATTGTGAAAACGTATTTATTGTACGCTTTCAAGACCCCTTTCTTGCTGAATATACCAGCGAACTGGGCTGCAGATTTTGGCGAGTCTGTACATGAAATTCGCTGTTGAAAAGCACCCACCCAGGCTGAAAATAATCTCTTTCCGCGAGTTGACTTTCTCGCTATTCGGGGCGTGGCCACATTCTCCAGGTAGACTTCGAAAACTTCGAGCTACTACCTGCGCTCTGACCTGCCCCTTTCGACTACCTAATAATTCTCCAGCCTTGCAGGTAGAAATAGGCTTTCCATCTCAAGAGCAAGGAAGGGGTATACTACTTTTGGAACAATGGAGACAAAAGAGAGAAGGGTCCATTATTGTGACATACCTGGAAAAATCGCTGCTGACACTAGTGTCATGCCTTTTTGAAGCCAAAGCTGAAAGTCAGATCGGGGTCGTGGACAAATGAACATATGCTTCTCCTCATAATAGTCTGTAATTCAGTGATTCCTTTATTTAATTTATTTATCATAAAAAAATAGTAAAAAACTGTCTGTGACGTTTAGGGGAGAAATATAATCTACGCAAGTTTACTTGATCTCCAGAATCCTTAGTCTCTCTTTTTCTAAATCTAGTTGTTGTATTACGAATTAAGGTACCAGGGAACGTTTAATTCATTCCTTTCATTTAACGTTGCGGCGAATTCTTTCATATGAATTTTTAAGCTGACGAGGCGATAATTGACATGGAGGTTTCGCCCATAAACTTAGACTAAATTATTTCTTAACTACCGAATCGGATAATAAATATTCTGTTAATTGTTCTGACCATTTTTTAAAGTGTTTTGTCAGTCAAAATCTCAATAATTTTTTTTTTTAGTACCATCGACGTTTTGTTGGCGATGCTTAGTCACAAGTCATTAGTTCTTAGTCACGAGTTCCTTCTTTCTTTTGTCTCCATTGTCGCGAAACTCTGCCCCTTCCTTGCTCTTGATGCTGCTGTTTTTTTTATACTACGTACCTGCGGGTGCTCTTTGGCAGTTCGATTCGTCTGTTTCGTCGGCGCAGACGGCTCCGAGGCAGCGCGAGCAGTGGTGCGCTCTGTGGAACTGGCGGAGAACCACGTACCGAGCGAGCGTCCCCTCACGGCCGCGTCCTACCTCACGACCTGCGCCGTTCGGCAGGGCGCCCGAAGCCGGCTCGGGGTGGCGTGGCGTGGCGCGGCGTGGCGCGGCGCGGCGCCGCCCCGGCGGAGGGGTGTCCGCCAAGAATGCGAGCAGGTAGTGGGAAGGGGAGCAGATGAGGGGCAGGGGCAGGGGCAAGGGCGGCGGCGTGGCGCCTGCCAAGGGCGAGGAAGGACCTCCCCGCCGCGGCGCAGCCTCGTCTGACTCGCGGCAAGTTCACTTTCGCCCGCAGTTCACGGCGAAGGATGGCGTGGTCGGTGGTCGCCCGGCTTTCGGTTAGGGCGTGAATGGATCGCCAGGATTTTCTTCTAGAGGGGGGAAGACAAACAGTGTCTACCCAACTTGATATTTTCCTATAAATAATTTTTCATTTATGTTGAATTTAATCAAATAGCCGATCCGGATAGCCGAAATCGCTAAGGCAGTAGCAAGAGGCGAGGACGATCTCGGGAGCAAGAATCGCGGGTTCGAGCCCGCCTCAGGCTTCGATGTATTTGCGTGTATGCCTGAATGAATGTGTCGTCCATTGATTCTTCATTATCATCATTCCGTGTACCATCCCTCCACAACTAGCAATCCTGGGGATAACAATTGGATTGAGCATAATGTTGATCCCCCAAAAAGGAGTCACATACACTTACGACGGGATAAATGTTACTGGGCCTCGGTAATTGCACGTGTATGTCCACGCTGTCCTAGACGGCCAATTTGTGACAAATAAAATGTAGACATTTTTATTTGTTGACTTACAGTTAATATTTATAATGTAAACAATTGATATATTGCATGACTTGCGGCAGTAAATAAAATTAGTTTGTATTGTTTAATAAGTATCATAGGCTTCGGGGGTGGGTGACTGTTGCCGTATAAGCCTCCTTCCACTTTGGGTTCTGCACGGGATAAAAGTAATCACGTTTTATATGCACTGGCATCCTCAGAGGCCAAGGAATGTCGCCGGAAATACTTTTGGTTGACCAATATTTTCAATTTCGATGCGGATTTCACTAAGTGGTTGGATTGTATTGACTTTTGTCGTGCGTATTCGGCTACATTGTTCCAAATTATTATTTTATCTTGTATAAGTATAATGTTTTGTTTGTTGTTTTTTCACGCAAATCTATAGTTTATTCCAATCTTAATAAGATTTGGTATATATAAACAAAAGCAAAGTGGCTGTCATTATGCGATTTCGTAAAAATCACTTCTTTCCTTCATCCTTACCCTTGAGAACAAAATTTAAGCGTTCACTCTAAGTGTTTTGGAAATATTCACAAAATCATATTGCTATTAAAGCCAATCAAATTAAACTTCTAAATGCGTGTAAATTCATTCAAATAGTTTGGGTAATATCTGGTCAAAATTGTTACAGCACGTGTGCCGGAGCAAGCAGCAACGCACCTCTTCACAGCCGCCCGCAGCAAAGACGATGGCAGCGAGAGTGATCGTAGTGAACATTGTCAGTTACTACGGCAAAAGCGGAGCTATGGTCGATGCTGCACGACAAGGTCAGTGGGGACAAGCAGGGTGGGTTTGGGCAGGGCGGTGGAGGGTACAACAGCCCACTGCGCGGGTACACAATAGTTCGAATTCTTTCCTTTTCCTGTCCAAAAGACTGCGATAAATAAATACTCGAACTGCAATGACTTCCTACGGTCAGGTTAGGAAAAACCGTTATTATTCTCTTTCCAATTTAGAATGTTTTGGACTACATGGACTAGTTATACATCACATTGTTGATGTAATAATAAATTAAACAACTAAGATAATTATTTAATGAAGAAACACAAAACGAAAACCGGTAAAGATTTTGCTATTCAGACGCATTTCTGTCCATCAGCGAAAATGATTAAACAAGGTAGAACCAGAATTAGGTAATAATGGTATATAAACATAATTCAAATCTAGGTTGACAGAGAACGTCTGGCAAACACATTGAAGCAACTATTCTTCGTGATATTTCGAGCACATTCGGTGGGTTCCTTCCCCGCCAGAGTTTGCGTATGTACCCCCTCCCCCTTCTGGATTTAGAGGGGCAATGAGTACGGAGTATGGGGAAGTTACCTGTCTGCCAAGGGCCGGGCTTTCTACGAGGGGAAGTAGCTCCTGCGGGCACGTTTTGACTCTCTTGGCGTGTACGTGTTTTACGTTACTTGTGTTACGTGCGATATTTCCGATTTCAAGTGGAGGCAATTCTGCTTGTCGGCTCGTGCCTCTGAATGCAGATGACCCCTTCACACTAGTTGCCACCTTCCTATCGCGGGGCGACAGCGGCGGGCACAATGCGGTTCCGGGCACGCGCCCGCGCTCACAATGGCGGTTATCGCGCCCAGCGAATCCGGCGCGGCGCGGCGCGGCGCGAGGGCCGGAGGTCGCGCGCGGGTTCACGGCCGGGGGCGCAACCGCCGTCAAATGTTGCTGGGCAGCAGGCAATACCACTGTACCTATCTTTAGAGAACAGACGGAAAGAAGAAAACAAGGTTGATGATGATGAAAAGAAAGACGATGATGATGAAAATAAAAATGACGATTACAGATTACGATTACACATTAAAGTTTGAAGAAATGATTTGACAAAGTATTGTCCTAAATATTATCGGAAGACGGATGGCCGAGTTATCTACTCAGGGTTCAGGATTTCGCGCCGGTAGAATTCTCTTTTACCTCCATGAAATAAAAAATAGTATTTATTATATAACTAGTGTTACTTTTTCGGTCTTATAGTTCGTACTTTTTGAATGTTTAGGTACTAGCAATTGCAACGACAATTGCAACTATTATCGCACTATCACCCGACCAAATTTCTCTGGCATCGAGACATAATGTTACACTCCAGCCTCCATCTCCAACCACATCTTTGCTCCCGCCCTCCGTCCGGTTATCGCAGAAGACCATTTAGCCGAATCGTCAGATGCAACGACACTTGACGCAAAAGCCTCTGAATGCAGCCGAGATAACGGCACCACCGGCCGCAAACGCGCGCGTAATCTCTCTCCCCTGCGAAGCATCTCCTCCACGCACGCGCGAGGTAAGTTAATCGGGTGTTCAGAGTCCGAGACGGAATTCGTTAAGTTGGTGTGCCGAGTTTGTGAAAGGCCGCAGCGAACGCGAGAGGTAGATTATTGTCGAAGTCGTTTATCGTACGCGACGAGTGTGTTAAAAGTGTTTACGTCCCTGACAAACTGATTCTGTTGGATGCAACAAAGAATTAAGGGCAACGTTCAGGTGAGAAAATTGATGCGATATTTATGTTTTGGAATTTAACACGTTGAGGCGAACAAAGTTATACATACAAAACATAATAACGGAATTTATAACAATTCACGATTTTATTTTTCGTCAAATTATTTATTTATACATCGAAAACATAACTTATGTTAATCTAGAAACACCATTGAGTAAATACGTTCTAAATTATATTGACTACTTATATTCGATTGTAAATTTATTATATTTTGTGTCGTTGCAATTGAATGAATCCCCTCGATCAATACGGTTAGATATTTAACTGATGTATTAATTTATATTACCCATTCATATTATGAAAGTAGACTCGTGCGATTTTTAAAAAATGTATGAATTATAAGTTGTTTCGAATTAAGTGTATTTATCTTAAAGGAAAAAAAGAAAAATCGAAAAGAGATCCGAAGAAATTAAGATGCAAACATATTCATCCACTACCTCCCCTCTCTCATTCTTTTTCTCTCGTCTTGTAGAAAGCAAATGTCAATTGAGCGAAGATTGCAGCAGAGGGAAAAGAACGTTGTCAGATAAGCTGGTGGTGACGGTGAAAGTTCTCCTCGATTTGCAATGACGCTGCGGAGCCACAATACTACGTGCGCGCTTACGCGATTTGCGATTAGGGTCGAGATTACTGCCCTCGCCTCCACGGACTGTGACACAAGCGGCCCAATAAGAGCGAAAAACAATAGCTTTGATAAAACGCTCCGATTGCGCATGTAACGAGGGCTTCATTGCGCTGTAATCCGGTTTCCAAGCAGATTCAAGGGCATCTCGGGTTAGTTCGTGTTAGTTCAGGATTTCAGCACAGCTGTGTTGGCAGTTTCTAATCTGCAATAAAATGGCGTTTGCAAGGAATATCAGCGTGTTTTCAAGGTAAGAAAACAATTTCATATTTTATAAAGTATGTTCTTACATAGTCTTACATACTCTATTCAAGGGCCAGTCAAAAATCGGGGAAATGATTTGGAAGTAATTTTCTTTCTCGCTATTTAGTATTGACTATTTTATACTGCGTGCCTAATAAAAGCGTGAATGAAGGCACTTATATTTTGCTGCAAGATGTCTAATGAGTTTTAAGTGAATATATACATATATATTAGATTGAGACCCATACATTCCCATTTAAAAGGGAGTTTAACGCCAGACTTAAGGAGACAGCATAAACTCTAATGATTACATGACTAACGGCTTTATACGGTCGTAATGAACAACGTAGAGAAGAGTTTTTGGGATTGAGTCAACAAAAGAAGCATTTCAAGCGTTGAACAAAGTCGTTGGATAATATATCAAAGAGTGTAGGTTAGTGGTGAGACATTCAACCCACAACGCGAGTCAAGAGTATAACAAACCTACATCGTGCTCGGAGGTTTAGATTTTAGGGCCCTCCACGATGAGTATGCAGCCCTAAATTTGAATCGGCTTTTGTTGAGAATGTAGGAAATATATTAAAACAGCGTTCGATATCAGCATAAGACATAACCTATCGCAAAGATATGATTTCAACTTACTTTTCGTGAATTTCTTTCCTGGCACCTCACCAACATTTCCACATACGAGAATCGGTTCAACAGAGTTGGAAAAATGAACCTTTCCTGCTGTTAGGCAGCAATTTTGCCATTGTAAGGTGACCGTCAAGACTCTTACAGGCGTGCTCTACTTTTAATACATAAAGTCGTACCTTAGGCCTAAGTTATGACTTCAAGGTGACTTCAAGGCGTGACTTACTTGTTAGTGCATATCGCCGCTATCTTATGCGTGGCGCCAAAACTCCCTATTGTGTTCTTTGTTGCCATTTTCGATAGCATTCAGTTTCGGTAACGTAATGCTTCCGAAACTTTGTGCGTATTTCCAAGATTCTAAGCACTGAAGTACACTCGGATCACTTGCAAACAGCGAAGACACTAGAATTTGACTTCTTGCTGGCGGACTATGCTTTTGTCGGCCTACGACCAGGCGCACGCATTTCAGTCCTAACGTAATACGCACCCCATTTCCAAATTCACTGATTTGCGTTTCTTGGTGTTTGTATCTTTGTAAAATGTATATTTTGGGACAATACTTAGAAATATTATCAGCACTTTGTCTCACTTTCTGGATATGACAGAAGACGAAAATCATGTTTCGGTTCCATTTTCATGTTTGGAATTAGTTAAGATTCAAATAATGTTTCACAATAACATACGTCATAGTACATTATTGTGAAATATAAAAAAATAGCAAAAATATTCGCAGAAACTTATTTCAAGCCACCAGTAGTTCAGTAAGCAATTCGAAAGGCTGTTGCATAGCCAATCGCAATTAACAGAATGAAAACCTTGTTTCCGAACATCCACAACACGCTTGCTATTCGAATGCAAGTGTTCTCTCGTATGTCATTTCATTTTAAGCACAAATTAAGGGAAGGGAATTCGGAGTTCTCAGTAATCAGTACTTAGATGTATTTTATTAAAAAAATCATTAATTGAATGGGTGAAAGCCAGATCGGTATAAGCGACATTTTATATTTTATGAGAAAACTGTTCATTTAATTCAATAATACTGTAAAGTCGTACTTTGTTTCATCATTAAAACCACGAAATTACATTGCAATTAAAATGTAGCGCAAAATAAACACGTTTTTCTCAGAATTTATAAAATGTCAATTATACTGTTCCGGTTTTCACCCATTCAATTGCAATTGAAGAATAAGTACGTACAGAAATGTGAGTAATTTTAATCACTGACAGATCGTCACAGAAATATACATTTCAAACACGTGAGGTCATACAAAGTTTACAACACCATGTTGGAATATTTTGTTTGGAATAACGGGCCCCTTAGATCAACTGCCCCGGGCTCCTGCTTTTTTTAGGGGGGGGCATCATAGCGGGAGGTAGTCCTTTAGTAGCGATGTATTTACGACGCTACCGCGTGGCGGGCGGTAGTCTTTTGGTAGAGTTATATTTACGTCGTTGCGAGTGATAGTCTTTTGGTAAAGATGTATTTACGTCGTTGCGAGTGATAGTCTTTTGGTAAAGATTTATTTACGTCGTTGCGAGTGATAGTCTTTTGGTAGCGACGTATTACGTCTTCGCGGGCGGTAGATTTTTTGGTCTTCCTAGCGGGCGGTAGTCTTTTGGTAGAGGCGTATTTACGTCGTCGCGAGCGATAGTCTTTCCGTCTTCGTAGCGAGGGTAGCCTTTTGGTAGCGACGTAATATTTACGTGGTAGCGGGCGGTAGTCTTCCGCTGGGCAGCGCCTGGCACCGAGAGAGCACGTGAACCTTGTTGACGGATGAACGTGTTGACACGGAGGCGAGGGAGGATAAAATGGTTCTGGAAGACACCGATACGCGCGCGAGCCCGAGTCAACACGTGGACGAAAGGCCACAGGTTGGCGTCAGCGGCGCGGCGCGGCACAGTTGGTGAGAAGCCAGTTGCCAGCGGCTGCCGCCCACGCTCGCCACGTCGCCCACTGGCCAAAAATAGATGCGCGCGCGGATAAAAATAATTACTTTTGCCAACCAACCACGGGAAACAATTTTAAAAAAGGGAATATAACCGTGTGCGAATAATTTTCACTCACGTGTGCTGAGGATTGCAAGCCGCTGTTGGCGTTGTTTATAACACAATCCACAAAATTGAATGCATTTTTCGTCAAAATCAGTTTGATGCACCTCTGAAAGATCCATATTCAGACATTGCACCATTCCTAGGTAAATTACGTTTACGAGGGGTTGTCTCGATGGAGTGTCATAAATCGCAAGAAATTGTCATATTTCGTAAGCATTTTGATCAGGATTTCTACCAAAACGTACCCTATGGTTCTCCTCATAGCACGTCACACACAGTTTTTAATTGTTTTTGATGTAAATAAATAAATGGGTTATCCCTTATAACTTCTAAACGGCTCGGGATATCGAAATGCAATTTTCGAAATGCCGAATCATGGAGCAAGTAATATGCATACGCTAATGTTCGTAATATTTTTTTTATTTTGGAGAAACTGAATCATCATTGCATTCTTTAAACGAAACTAGTATTTTGATTACTTTTCACGTACAATGAATATATTATTAAATAAAATACAATGATGTTATGTATGTTTACTATTTCAAGTAATTAATATTGTCAGAAAATTGAATATTTCTACTATTTGCTACTGAAGACTAACAATTTCGTATTAGCAGCTCCTCGCAGGGCAGCTGATGGCCTCGTGTCGGTGGAGACCACGAAACCGTTAGGTTGCGAGCGGTGACAGGGAGGGGGTGAAAAAGGAAACTACAGAAATCACGGAAGGTCACAGAAAGTAATATAAAGTGTGAGAATGTAAGGATATG